CAGACAAACTGACAGGCAGACAGACAGGCAGACAAACTGACAGGCAGGCAGACAGACAGACAAACTGACAGACAGACAAACTGACAGGCAGACAGACAGGCAGACAAACTGACAGACTGACAAACTGACAGGCAGGCAGACAGACAGACAAACTGACAGACTGACATGCAGGCAGACAGACTAACAGGCAGACAAGTAGACATACAGGCAGAGTAGGTTAATAGTAGGAAAAGGTTCTGAGAAACAGAGTTCTGTTCTTGAAGCTGCTTTTGGTTGTTGAACCCTGACCCTGTCTCTTCCGGATCCTCAGGTCCAAACCTCCAGATCAGAACCACTTCACCAGACTACAGGGAAGCTGATCTGCAGGTAGGGGACAGAAAGACATGAAGACTGGATCAGGACCATCTACAGAACCACATCATGTCAAGTTGGTTCCTTTTAAACCCAGAAGGCCCAATCAGCTGACTCTCCAAAATAAAAGCCCATTTTAGTTTTAATTTCCCACCTAGGAGGATTTGGGTCCAACCCTGAACTTTATAGGTTCTGATTCCGTGGAGGTTTGAGTCTGTCAAGCTGTTCATCAGCAGAACCGAACCCGTTCCTCCTCTTCATCAACCCTCTGACGTCATCGGCTCATTAGAGTTTAATTAGCAGCAGATTTCTGTCGGAACACCAGCAGAAGATCCTGGCTGTACACCAGGACCAGCAGCTCAGGTCACAGGTGAGTGTCTTACCTGCAGCTCGCGCACCGCAGCTTCACGTGCGTTTCAAACAGAAACGAAGTTCTTCTGAGAACATCAGGTGGTGCTGGAGGGCTGAGTCCACTTCCGACTGCTCGTTACAAAATAAAAGCTTCTAACAGAGTCTGTGATATGTTGCATTTTAATTTCAGGTATTCAAATAAAAAAGAACAATGTTCTTAAAGAACACCTGAGCTGAAAAATAAACCAGGTGGAAAAATTAAAAACAACAGATGTAACCTGGTGTCTGTGTAAACTCGGATTAACTTAATCTGGTTTGATACATTTAATCTGGATTTAAACACTTTTCACAGTTTGAATTCTGCCTCAGACAGTTTGGTTCATTAAACCTTTGTCAACATGTTTGTTTGTTTGTTTGTTTGTTTTTGTTTGTTTAATGTGTTTGATTTTCCTTAAAGAATTAACAGTCGGTTCTGATCCAGCTCAGCTTTGAATAAAATTTAGTTTTTGTTTTTCTCACCTTTTCGGTTCCGGTTTATTTCTCCACCATGTCTGGGAAACGGTCGGGTCCAGTCCGGTCCTGGTGCAGCCAAAGAACCGGGTCCGTCTGTGACTCAGGGAGCTGTTAGCTCTGAGAGCCTGCCCCCCTCAGAGGAGGAGATATATCTGCTTCTGATCTCATCATCCCGATCCGGGACCACATGTGGACCGAGCCAAGCTGAGCCGGACCGAAGAGCGCAGCCCGGACTCAGGGTGTCCTCAGCTGCTGGAGAACCGCCTGCATGGATCCCAGAACCCTGAGGAGGAACCTGGTTCTCCTGCAGCTCAGCTTCTGCCTCTTCTCCGCGGGAGACACCAAACAGGTGAGTGGACCACAGCTGGACACACCTGTCTCTGAGGGAGGACCCGGGTCTGTCTGGATCAGAACATTCAGGTGTTTTTCTGACTTTCATCAATCCGCGCGCACGTGACTCATCAAGTATCTTTACTGAACTAACAAGACCTGACCGTCCATGGAGGAATGCATGTCGCCCGCCGCCCTTCAAACCATTTTCAGCCTGAGATCTGATGAGGAGAGAGGATGCTCAGCTGCATACAGATCTCTGTAGGACTAATACAAAATATGACTCTCAGCCTTGACTCGGTCTCCACTATGGACTTCATCACCCAGAATGCAATGCACCGGTGAATTAATGACGTCTTTAGGTGAAAACTTTAATAAACAGACACAATTTTAAGTCATTAGGCGTTTTCCTGTCACAAACACCAACTTTGAGTAGAACAGAGAACATATCAGTCATCAGGTGAGGTCAGTCAGCCCTCAGAGTCTGTGATGGGATGACTCTCACCTACTACCACACCACATGTGTCCTCAACTCATGTAAAACCGGCTGATTGCCTGTGGCGGCCATCTTGAATTGGGTTGTTTTGTCGATAGAGTTCAGTAAAACATCTGAAGGTTTGACTTTTATTTTTTTAATTAGTCCTGTTCTGGTTCTCCATTCCGCTGCTCCTCAGAGTTCCCAGGATCTGGTCTTGACAGCAGCGTTCTCTGATTTTGGACCACAGACCTGCAATAATCTTCAGACCAAACTTGAACTTGAAGCTTTTGTATTTTTGGAAAGTTCACAGCTCTGACAAAGTCTGAAACTGAGGAGATGTCACGACTTGTCGAGTTTTGTTTGTTCCGTTTGTTTTTATTTTTGCAGGAATGCAGAATCGCTCATCGTGTTGACTCTGACTTGTTTTTTATTCCGACTTGTTTTGTTCGAGTCTGACTGGTCTTTTTTTGGGCGGCATGGTGGCTCAGTTGGTGGAGTTGTTGCCTCTTATCGAGAAGGTCGCAGGATCAAATCCCGGCCAGGGGCCTTTCTGGGTAGAGTTTGCATGTTCTCTCCGTGCATGCGTGGGTTTTCTCCGGGTACTCCCACAGAACAAACCCGTGTATAAGATAGAACTTTATTGATCTCACAGGAAATTGTCGTGCCAGAGATTCTGTACAAAGGAACAAGAAATCACACAAGATTTAAAAACTAACAGAGAATATATAAGAAAATGATTAAGGTCTAAACAGGTCAGGTGAAGACAGAAGCAAAGTGTTTATTGTAGTGCAGGATCAGTTTTATTGTCCAATGTGTAGAAAGGGGGATGAGTTGAAAAGTTTGAAGGACTGGTGGTCTCAGTCTACGACTGAAGGTGCTGCAGTAAGAGTCCAGGGTGTCATGCAGGGGGTGTGACGTGCTGTTCAGGATCTGGAGCAGTTTCCTCAGCGTCCTCTGCTCTGACACCTCTGTCAGAGACTCGGGTCCACTCCCAGAACTGAACCAGCTCTCTTGATGAGTTTATCAAATCTGCTGGCATCAGCTTTATTCACCTGCTGCCCCAGCACACCACAGCGTAGAAGATGACGCTGGAGACCACCGAGTAGTAAAACATCTGCAGCATAGTTCTGCAGATGTTTCTCCTCAGAAGGAAAAGGTGACTCTGCCCTTTCTTGTAGAGGGCGTTGGTGTTAGCTGTCCAGTTTATTGTCTAAGTGGACCCCTAGGTAATTGTAGCAGTCCACAGTGTCCACCTCAGTACCCTTGATGTCGATAGGGTTGCGGGGGCTGATCTTCTTCCTGTAGTCCATCTGCAGCTCTTTAGTTTTTCCAACATTGAGTTGCAGGTGGTTCTGTCCATCACACCTCTGTATTCAGCTTCCTGGTCACCAGTGATGCAGCCCACAATGGCAGAGTCATCCAGAACTTCTGCAAATGGCAGGATTGTGAGTTGTACCTGAAGTCCGAGGTGTAGAGGGTGAACAGAAACTGTGAGAGGACCGTCCCCTGAGGAGCCCCTGTGCTGCCCAGTACGGTGTCCGAGGTGGTGTTCTGCAGCCTCACATACTGTGGCCGACCTGTGAGGTAGTCCCTAATCCAGGTGACCAGTGAGTCATTCACCTGCATGTCCAGGAGCTGACTGCAGAGTACATAGTAGAGTAGAGTACTGCATGTTAGACTGAGTGGTAACTCTAAATTGTCCCTAGATGCGAGTGAAAGAGTGAATGGTTGTTTGTCTCGTTTGTCTCCGTGTGTCCCTGTGATGGACTTGTGACCTGTCCAGGGTGTTCCCCAATACAGCGATAGCTAGACATGGACACCAGTGACCCCAGTGACCCCCGCACCCCGAAAAAGGAGGAAGCGGGTAAAGATGATGGATGGATGGATGGCTTTTTTTGAGTCTGACTGGTTTTATTTTAATCTGACTGGCTTTATTTGAGTCTGACTTGTTTTATTTGACTCTGATTTGTTTTATTTGAGTCTGACTTGTTTTATTTGAGTCTGACTGGTTTTATTTTAATCTGACTGGTTTTATTTGAGTCCGACTGGTTTTATTTGACTCTGATTTGTTTTATTTGAGTCTCACGTGTTTTATTTGAATCTGACTGGTTTTATTTGAGTCTGACTGGTTTTATTTGAGGCAGCACGGTGGCACAACTGGTAGAGCTGCTGCCTCTCAGCGAGCAGGTCCCTGGTTCAAACCCCGGTCCAGGGGCCTTTCTGGGTGGAGTTTGCATGTTCTCTCCGTGCATGCGTGGGTTTTCTCCGGGTACTCCGGTTTCCTCCCACAGTCCAAAAACATGCATGTTAGGCTGATTGGTAACTCTAAATTGTCCCTAGGTGTGAGTGAGAGAGTGAATGGTTGTTTGTCTCGTTTGTCTCTATGTGTCCCTGTGATGGACTTGCGACCCGTCCAGGGTGTACCCCGCCCCTCGCACAGTGACTGCTGGACATGGGCACCAGCGACCCCCGTGACCCAAAATGGAATAAGCGGGTAAAGAAAATGGATGGATGGATGGTTTTATTTGAGTCTGACTGGTTTTATTTGAGGCAGCACGGTGGCGCAACTGGTAGAGCTGCTGCCTCTCAGCGAGCAGGTTCCTGGTTCAAATCCCGGTCCAGGGGCCTTTCTGGGTGGAGTTTGCATGTTCTCTCCGTGCATGCGTGGGTTTTCTCCGGGTACTCCGGTTTCCTCCCACAGACCAACAACATGCATGTTAGGCTGATTGGTAACTCTAAATTGTCCCTAGGTGTGAATGAGAGAGTGAATGGTTGTTTGTCTCGTTTGTCTCTATGTGTCCCTGTGATGGACTTGCGACCCGTCCAGGGTGTACCCCACCCCTCACACAGTGATTGCTGGACATGGGCACCAGTGACCCCTGTGACCCAAAATGGAATAAGTGGGTAAAGAAAATGGATGGATGGTTTTATTTTGAGTCCGACACATTTTATTTGAGTCTCACGTGTTTTTATTTGAATTTGACTGGTATTTGAGTCTGGTTTCATTTGAGTCTGGTTTAATTTGAGTTTGACTTGTTTTATTTGAATTTGACTGGTTTTATTTGAGTCAGACTGGTTTTATTTTTAGTCCGACTGGTTTTATTTTTAGTCCGACACATTTTATTTGAGTCTGACGCGTTTTGTTTGAGTCCGACTCGTTTTGTTTGAGTCCGACTCGTTTTGTTTGAGTCCGACTCGTTTTGTTTGAGTCCGACTCGTTTTATTTGAGTCCGACGCATTTTATTTGTTAGTTTTGAAGGACTTCCTGGAGAATTAAATGTAAAAAAATAATAATAATAATAATAATCACAATTACATCTTATTATCATCTTCTGAGAGTTTTATTAAAATCACTGCTCAGGATATATTTTGCTAACAGATAGACCATGCTGACAAGCCTTTCTAAGAGTTCAGGAGAACTCTGTGAGAAGAAGGACTTTGAGCTGAGAACAGAGGAATGTTCCTCACGTTTAACTGTAGCTGCAGAGTCGGCTGAGAAGACAAGATCTGTCTCAGTCGAAGCTGCTGGTTCTATCAGGGACAGTTTCACCAGACTGATACAGATGGAGATCAGGTTTGTTCCAGATAAAAGAACCACGAGAACATGGAGCACGCTTAGATGGAAGAGATCTGGAGTTGTGTGGGTTCTGATCCAGCTGCAGGTTATAATGAAGGTTTGAGATCAGAAACCAGAGACCTAAGTCCAGAGACCAGAGACCCAATCCAGAAACCAGAGAGTTCCCAGGAGAACCTGGACCTGCTGTCTGAGTGTTCTTCCAAATGTCCCGGTAAATGTGTCGTTTTGTTTTGGTTCTCTGCAGGTGTGCCACTGTACTGGGAAGTCCTTCTGTCACTGTGATGGGGTCAAAGGTCAGAAGGTGAGAAGATCTCCATCTAAACTTCATGTTCTCTAATTTTACTGGAAGACACACAAACTGGAATCCAGAACCTGACAACGTTGATTTTACTGCTCAAGTCAGGAGAGAAACTTTATTTTTGTCATCAGTCATTCTGTGAAAAAAAAAAACATTTAAAATCAGATTTATAGAAATTTAGTAGCATTTTGATGTTTTTTTTTACTTTATTTAGCTCATTTCTCTGCACTCAGCCAAATTAACTAAACTATTATTTAAAAAATGTTTTATTTTAGTTAAATTATTATTAAAAGCCAATTTGTTTGACAAAAAGTGAGACATTTTGAGACGAGCAGCTGTTTTGGTTCCTCTGGATCACACAGGTGTGTTAAAACAACACCAAGCAGGAAAGACATCAGCAATGACCTCAGAGAAGCAGCTATTGCTGCCCATCATCTGGGAAGGGTCAAAGGTCATTTGCAAACTATCTAGAGTCCATTTTACAGGGAGAAAGATTATTCGCAAGTGGGAAAACATTTTAAACAGCTGACAATCTTCACGGCAGATTTACCCGGAAGGTCAGACTGTGCAATGCTCAGAGAAATGAAAAAAAAAGAGCTAGGCACTCCAGTCATGATGTTCCAGTTCAGATAAGAAACAGCAGAGACAGAGACATGATGGTATTTTATCACTTTGTCTGCTTTTTTCTCTAAAATGATGTTTGGCGGGATCATGTGACACGGTTCTGCTCTGACCTGTCTGGACTTGTTCTGAGGATATTCAGATGTCTGGTCTCTCAGGAAACGTCTCACTCTCGCCACCATCATAACATTTCAACCGATGAAATCTCTCGTTGTTATGACTCGTGGATTTGTTTCAGTTTCTGACTCCACTGACCCCCGGATCATCGCTCGGTCCCCCAGTGATGGTCTGCTGTCACTGCACATGAGGACTCCTCTGAGGAACCCTCGGGGTCTGGGGTCCAACTGTCCGATGGCAGAATATTAAAAATCTTAATATTTTGTGTTCAACACATTTGAGCAGATTTCAAACGGTTCTGAAGGGTCCTGCTTCCAGAGTGGAAGGTTTTTTTTCATATCTTCAGTTCATCTGCATTGACTCCTGCAGTCTTTGTGTTGCCGCTGCAGACTGCAGACCCTCAGGTATGGCATCAGAGACCACCCAGGTGTAAACTCTGTGCCCTCAGGTGAGTTCAGTGGCAATAGAAAGAAAATAAAAGGCTGGTTCCTCTTGGCTGAAGGTGAACCATCCAGCTGTTCTATCAGAATATGAATGGAGATAGAAATCAGCAAGAACTGATTCAACATCCGAACCCCACCTGACCTCCGGCACTCTGCTGCCCCCTCCTGTGCAGTAGAAGAACTTCATCTCTCTTTCTGTTTCAGGGAGAACCTGGACTTACTGGTCACCTTGGATTTCCTGGAAGGATTGGTTTCCCTGGAAATGAGGGGAGTCCGGGCCCACTTGGAGAAAAGGTAATCTGTCCAGATGACCTGACTTAATCTTGTTAGATTTTTCTACCTGGATTATTGAGCATGCCTCAGCACGAATCAATCTGTTCTTCGTAATAGCAGTAGTAGTAATAGTAGCTGTGTTAGTAGTAGTAGAAGGAGTAGTTAGTGTGAAATAGTGCAGATGATCCAAGACTTCACAACCAAATACAAAAAAAAACAAACTTTGAGCCAAAATACAAAAAACATTTTTGTCCATATAAACATAATTAACATAGCAGACATTTACATACAGAATAAGCATTAGATTCAGTCAGTGTTGATTTTTTTTCTGTAGGCAGGGTCAGTGTTAGACATAAAGAACAGAAAAAAGTACAAAATATTTTTTATTGAGGTTGAAAGGTGACTCGGTGTGATGTTGGTTCCAGTAAATTCAATATTTGACTTTCTGATCAGAACTTTCTGCTTCATGATCTGAAGTGACTGGTTGATACAGCACAAGAAAGAAACTGATGGGTTTGGAAAAAAATACTCATGATTTTAAACATATGACCTTTAAAAACATGGATGGATGGATGATGGATGGATATATGTTGGATGCATGTTGGGTGTATGTGTGTTGATGTATATTTGTTGTATGTATGTTGTATGTATGTATGTATGCATGTATGTATGTTGTATGTATGTTGGGGAGTGGTGGCACAGAGGTTAGAAGATGGGCCTGTGATCGGAAAGTCACAGGTTCAACTCCCGGTACCATCAACATCAAAAAATGTTGGTGGAAAAGGTGGAACACCCACACCTGCCTCCACCCTCATTCACCCCACTCTGGGCCCCTGAGCAAGGCCCTTAACCCCCACCATCTGCTCCCTAAACAGGTCTCTCTTGAAAATGAGTTCTCGTGGCTCAATGAGACGACCTGTATAAATAAAGGCTAAATGAAAAATAATGTATGTTTTATGTACAGAATATGTATTATGTATGTTGTATGTTTGATGTTGGACATATATATGTTGGATATATGTTGATGCATGTATGTATG